GGGGGGTCATAGGTTTATTTATAATATGGATCACATTAATGCGATGCCCGGTATGACACTCCTCAGAAGAGGGGATACACGTGGCATTAGCGCACCGGTCATCATATCCATATCTACCCTTCCCACCCCGTTAAGGTATTAAAGCGCAAATTGGTCTCGATGTTTATTGCATGCTACTACCCGTCCCTTCCTATCAGTCCCGGAGGATTTTTAGGACTACTATTCCTAAAAGGGAGGGATATTAGGCTGATTTTAGGTTTTAAAGGTGAAAAAGCTAAGGCGACATACAAACCATATAAGGCTGCACATTAGGAGAAACATATAACAAATAAGAGGCTCATGTATACCTCTTCGAACAAAGAACATATATAGGATGACTTAAACATACATCTAAGGTCTGAATTTAACATACTAAGGTAAGGGAAATTTCAATTGTTGAGGCAGACCAGTTTATTACATAACTTAGATAAGAATTCCGAATCAGGCCAGCCTGCTGGTTGTAGCAATTAACAAATGAGGATTCAATTTTTTTGTTGTTATCACCTAAGGCTTGCCTAAGCATTTAGGAGAGATCCCATAGACATGGTATCTATTCAGAATGAAGTGAAACAGTAACAATTGAAGACGAATGATTTGGATCTTATAGGAATGCTTTCTAAAGCGCGTTAAAGTAAATAGTAAGGTTGTTTAAAACTGATTCAAAGTCAAACTGATTTTAAATTGGTATATAAGATGAAGTACTGGTCAGATGGTACAATAGAAAGGTTCGAAGTCAGGTTGGTTTTGATAGGTTACACTAAGCAGGAGAGTATAGACTTCACAAAAATCTTTTCCCCAGTGGTAAAGATGACTACGGTGAGAACACTGATTGTAGTGCAGTAAAGAATGGGTGGACAATGTTCCAATTATATGTAAGTAATACTTTTCTCCATGGAGATTCGCATAAGGAGGTATATATGAAGATTCCATCTGGACTCATAGTGAAGGATCAATCTTTGGTTTGCAAGCTAAACAAGTCACTATATAACCTGAAGCAAGCAAGCAGATAGTGGTACGAAAAGTTAACTGAAGCATTGTGCTCAAGAGGTTTCAATCACTCCATGACCGATTAATCATTGTTTTACAAGCAGTAAGGAGATTAGGTTGTCAATGTGGCAGTGTATGTAGATGATGTCTTAGTTACAGGAACAGATCAGGAAGAAATATATTAGTTGAAAGTTGTCCTTCATAACAAGTTTAAAATAAAATACTTAGGCAGACTGCATTACTTTTTAGGTCTGGAAATTCTGTATAATCCTGATGGTTGATTATCTCTCAGAGGGAATTTGTTTTAGACTTGTTGAAGGAGTACACTTGTATAGAATATGGTGCCATTTGTTCTCCTCTTGATCCTACTATAAAGTTGAAGGCCAAGGAGGGTACACCATTGGAAGATCCTACTTACTACAGAAAGATGATGGACAAATTAAACTTTCTTACTAACACAAGACTAGACATAGCCTTTGGAGTGCAACACTTGAACCAGTTTATGCAAGAACCTAAGGAACCTCAACTGAAGGCAGCCTATCATGTATTGAGATATCTCAAGGGTGATCCCACTTTGGGAGTCTCTATGTCTAATGATGCAGATTTGTCTGTTAGAGCATATTATGACTCTGATTGGGCTTCATGCCCAGACTCAAGAAGGTCTGTGAGTGGGTACATTGTGCTGCTAGGAAGCAGTCCTCTCAGTTGGATATCTAAAAAGCATGATATTGTTTCACTATCTTCAGCAGAGGCAGAGTACAAGTCACTTAGGAAAGTGGTTGGTGAATTGATCTGATTGAGCAGGCTACTTGCTGAACTAAGAGTTCCTTCCATTCATCCCATTCCAGTGTTTTGTGATAGTTTATTAGCTCTACACATAGCTAGAAATCTTGTATTTCATGAAAGAACAAAACACATCAAAGTTGACTGTCACTTTGTGAGGAAACAACTACAAGAAGGCCTCATCTCCATGCACCACATTGCCACTGATCATCAGCTCATAGGCATCCTTACTAAAGCTCTCACAGGAATCAAACACTCTAGTGTTTTGAGCAAGTTGGTAGTGTTCTCACCACCTCCAACTGGGGGGGGGGGGGTGTTATTGAGATAATATATTGTTATTTAATAGTTGTTAGTTAGTTAGTTATAGAAGTTAATTGGTAGTTATGTTAGTTAGTCTGACAGCTTGTGATAGCTAGCAGCATAGTGGACAGCTTCGTGTGTATATATACAATGCCGGTATCAATGAAAGACTTAAGCTTCATTTCATCAAACATTTCACTCCTTCCTCCTCTCTCTTTTAACGCTGAGTTCTAGAAGCTTCACTGCTCCACCATTGCAGGGATGANACTCCACCATTGCTGGGATGATCGAGCTCATTCCTGTTGATTTTCAGTGTCAATTTGGACATTTTTATTATAAAACACACATATTATCCGTTTAGTAGTTTGGAGCAAACACTAACTGCGAGTAAATTTGTCCTCAATTTGTGCCTCTCGAAAATTCATTACAAGCAAATTTAGTAGTTTCATTTTAAGTTAAAAAATATGAAAATAGCACGGTATAGCCAGTTTTCGGACTGACCATTCAAAAATAGCCAGCGTTTACGAAGTCAATGAAAAATAGCCATTATTTTGTTGCAACAAAGACCGGTCCAGCATAATATACTGGAGTTCGGTGCACCTGTGTATGAACTCCAGCATATTATGCTGGACCGATATACTTTGCTGACTCCAGTATAATATACTGGAGAGTAGAACACCGATGCTCCAAACTCCTGTATATTATACTGGACAATTATACTTGCTGGAACTCCAGTATATTATGCTGGAGTTTTAGTGTACTTATGTTGGAACTCCATCATATTATGCTGGAGTTCCAACATACTTATCCTGGAACTCCAGTATAATATACTGGTGTATTTTCCGAGTTTCGAACAGTATTTTCGCTCAGATTTATATTTACATGAAAAATGGCTAAATTTCGATTACTTTTGAAATTGGGCTATTTTTGAACGACCAGTTATAAATCTGGCTATTTTTGAATTTATCCCTTAATTAAATCACTCTATCTCGGCCCATCCAGCCGCAATTCGCCCTGCCAAAAGACAAGAGAGTTCCACATTACTCGAAAAGGAAAGATTCATTGAACCAACTACCAAGTATATAAAGTTAAGAGTTTAGTTAGTAATAAATGGTGGCATGACAGATTGTGTTTGAGTTTGACGTTTTTAATTGTATATTACTGTCTAAAATTGCATTTGCTATATTTACTATCCCATCTTTTGGGATTCAAAATATGTGCTATTATGATAATTAGGTCTAAGTTATTTCATGTTATGAAACTCGAAATACATAGCAATTCTCTAATATATACCAGCTGGAAGGCATATTTACCAAATTAAATTTGAATTTAGACACATGGAATGTATGATGAATGGAGTAGTATATTACTATTCTAGACAAATAAAAGTTGGATTCTACAACAGCTATAGAAGTTGACCTTAATTAACTTGCACGTTTAATTTGGCACAATGAGTTACTACAGCAAGCTGGAGGCCACTGTAAAAATATTCCAACCATGAATTGAAAGCTCTGAATATATGAATACCATAATTGGAATTGATTCTGATTCTGTTTTTTCTTTTTTTGTTTGTTTTATATGGACCAAACACGTAAGACTATTCTTTATTTTTGTGGAGGTAAGATTTGAACCAGACCTTTATCTACTCTGATACCATATTAAAATATATAATTATTTCATCGAAATAGTTTAAATATAATTATAAAGAACACACTCTTAATTATTTTATTTTACTATCAACATTCATCCTAGTATAAATTAAAAAGTGACGTGTTACCCAGAGATATTAATAGAACTAAAACATAGAGAAAATAAGTTTGACAACAATTAACTTTCAAACATTAATTGTTTTGATTATTGTTGTCCCCATGATTTGGGTAACCAACCACGCGTACTTCACGTGAAAATGACGATGAAGCACGTGAAACAAGGCTGTCTAATCACATAATTACCTACTCCATTTTAGACTAATTTAAGGTCTTCGTTTCTCTAGTCATTCTTACATCTATTTGGCCAAGCTTCTTTTTTGCCAAAAGTATTTTTTTTGGTTAAAAGGTGTTTGACCAAGCTTTTAAAAGGGAAAAAATGCTTTTGAGGAGAAGCAAAAGCAATTTTGGAGAAGCAGAAAAAAATAGATTCTCTCTAAAAGTACTTTTTTGAGAAGCACTTTTGAGAAAATACACTTAGAAGTAGTTTTTTAAAGTTTGACCAAACACTAATTGCTGCTCAGAAGTGCTTTTCAAATAAATTAGCCAAACACAAACTGCTTCTCACCAAAAGTACTTTTGAGAAAAGCACTTTTAAAAAAAAAACACTTCTCAAAATAAGCTGATTTTTGGAGCTTGGCCAAACCGGCTATTAGTTGCCTTAGATGTTAGTGCGTCCTAAAATAGAAAGTTTGCCTCGTTTTTTTCTTTTTGGTTTCCTTGAAGTCTTTGATGAAGCACGTAGCAAGTGTAATATGTATCAGACATATTTAAAAAACATTTGCTATGTAAAAAGGTTTTTCGTAAAATTAGGTGTATAAAAAGAATTTAGCTACAAGCTCGGAGGGTAAACAATATTATCCCACCACTTGCATTTGTCAACAACATTTATCCATTCAATATGATGGTAAGTCTCTCCGCCTAGCTTCATTCTCCCTTCGATTGCCGGAATGGTCTGGCGACTGTATATTGGGTTGCTCTCGTCACCGTGAATGATCACCTCTTGATGATTCCATTCGAATTTTACTATCTGATGTAGTGTCGATACTACGGCCACAGCAGTAGGGATCCATGGCCGACCCAACAATAGATTGTAAGATGCTGGCACGTCTATCACTTGGAAATTAATGTCGAACCATGTTGGCCCCATCTGCAAGCATAGACTAATCTCCCCAATGATGGACCTTTTAGAAACATCGAAAACTTTCACATTGATGGCCCCGTCCTTTATATTATGCAGTCCTTTACCCAACTTCTTGAGTGTTACCAGTGGACAAATATTGACACTGGAACCCTCATCGATCAGGATCCTGGTGATGAAGTAGTCCTCGCATTGCACAGTGATGTGCAGCGCTTTGTTGTGTCCCAACCCTTCAGGTGGTAGCTCGTCCTCATGAAAAGTGATCTTATGGATCTCAAACACTTGTTCTACCATGTTAGCCATTTCTCTGCCAGTGATGTTGGTTGGTACATATGCCTCACTTAGTACCTTTAACAGAGCATTTTTGTGTGCCTCAGAGTTTTGTAGTAAAGCAAGAATAGAGATTTACGCTGGCGTTTTGTTCAACTGGTCGATGACCGAGTATTCCTTGGCTTGTATCTTTCTCCAAAGGTCGTCTGGACCTATCTCAATAATGGGTGTCCAGTTGGAGGCCTTCTTGCTTGACTCGGCTAGGTATTCCGGCGTATAAACCCTACCAGTTCTCGTCATACCCTATGCGGCAACAATCTCTTCGAACCTGACCTTACCTTTCCTTCTTGCCTCAGTTGTATAGTCCCAGGGTATAGCCTTTGTATGGAATAGTGTCATGGTTGACATCGCCACTAGGATCGACATGGCTGTCCTTACTCCGAACGGAGCATGTTCCTTGGGCAGCAAGACTGCAACTTCAAACAGTGTGGGTGTATTTGCCGGAGACACGAATTCAACCTCAATTGGCGCTGGTGTCTTTTTGTATAACGTTGCTTCAAACTCAAGCGACACAGACATATTTACCTCAGCATCCCCAGGTGGCTGATTCTGTACTATGATTGGATTAAGAGTAACTATTAGCTTCTTTGGGTCATCACCTTCCGCGATTAACCTGATTGATCCCTCGGGATCCCAATCATCCTCTATTTCAATCACGTGAATGCTTTCACCCTTATGGTCTGGCAGGGGGTTATTGTGGACATTCAGAACATGTTATTTTGCCACAATAATCTTTTTATCGATCAAAGACTGGATCTTATCTTTCGAAGAACAACATTCATTGATGGTGTGCCACTTCATGCCGGAGTGGTAGGCATAGGATTTGTTTGGGTTAACCCACTGGAAAGGGTCTCAGGGGTTGTAGCAGGGATGGGGGTAACATAACCAATAGCTTTGAGTCTCTCGTACAATTGGTCAATAGGTTTAGCAATGGCTGTATATTGTTTTGGGGGTCTGCGATCAAAATTTGATCGAGGTTTAGGGAAATTTTGGCATGCAGCAGGTGAATGATAGTGGGATAGTTGAGTATTGTAGGTTGGGTAGACATGTGTGGGTTGGCAATATCTGGGTGAAGTGGGCTGGTATATGGGAGGCGGAGGTGATTGATAAGTGGGTGATGGAGCTTGGTATGCGGATGATGATGCTTGGTAGTTCGGAGTTGCTTGGTATTTGATAGGAGATTTGGTTCTCTGTGCAACCATTACGGCCCCACGTCCCTTTTCTTGGACACACCACTGGACTGTAAGGCCTTATTTGTAGCTTGTAAGACCTCGAAGTTTGTAACCATACCGCTTTTAATGCCCTCTTCGATCCTTTCTCCCATCTTGATAATATCAGAAAATTTGTGGCTCTCAATCATCATTAATCTTTCATAATACTGCGGGTTTTAAGACTGGACAAAGAATTTGTTCATCTGTTCCTCTTCTAAGGCAGGTCTGACCTTAGCAGCTTCGGACCTCCAGCGAGTAGAGTACTTGCGAAATATTTTTGTGGGCTTCTTCTTTAGATTCTGAATATAGAACACGTCCGGAGCAT